GATTTACTGTAAATAAAATATGTACATTTTTCTTAAAACTATTTTTCAGTCATACAGTTATTAAGCCTTCAGACAGCATCTGAAGTGCACACCGTTTTTTAGTCGGCTGACAAAGTGGAGAGTGCTTTGTAGGCGGTGTTTGACCTCCATTCCAAACTTAACAAAGCCAGTGACTACATGATAATACATGAATGTAATACTTATTTGATCTATGTAGATGGACATCTTTCTCGCTTGGATCCAGCAGCTATAGACACCTCCTCCCGCCAGCACAGGAGTGTGAATGGAAACTCCACTCTTTCCTCTCTGTTATCACTGTTAGCCGGGTCATAGACCGGCAGAATGAAATGGAGTGCAACCAGTTGTCATAGTTACGCCGAGTTCCAAACCATTGATGAAACGGTTAAAATAGCTTGTTCGATTTTTTTATTTCGTTTGCAAAATTTACTATTACGTTATTCAGTAACACTAGAGTACTTCTGAAGTTTGTTTGGAAATTATCGTAAAGGCAAGTGCTTTGGGTGCGTAAATGTCTTAACTAAGTTTTAACTTTCATTAACTAATCCAAAATTATTCCATATTAAGCTAGCGCTAGCATTAGCTTCAGCGTTAACATCGTAAATTGACAAAAGACCTGACGTAGAAAAAACGGTATTATGGCTTAATTATTTGCCTACCATATAAAATTTGTTAACCACATTCTTAAAAAAGAGTCAGATGGATAGAACGAGTACTAACAGCAACAGCCGTAATAGTAAGTGAGACTTGTGTTTTTCGGATCAACAAACACTTTGACTGATTATCAGACATGAGCGTATTTATTTTGCACTTGTCTTGTTTCATCGCTTTTAGCTTCAAAGACAGACCTCAGTTTGCTTCTTGAGTGTCTGAAGCATCAGATGAAATGTCCGGATTTACAAAAACAAGCACTTGTCACCATTCATTCAATCTGTGAAAAGAGAGGTAACAGTGAAAACAGTAATTTCATATAAGGTTATTTTATTTACAAATCTGAGTGAAGAGAGAAAAAAAAGCATTTAATTTAGATATTAAGTTTTGTATCTTAACATCATGTATAACCACGGTTTGAATTATTTCAGAGGATAATGTGGACCTTCTGAGAGAACTGGGCGGTGTGGCATTTCTGTATAACCTGTCCAAATCCAGTATTGTTCATTCAGAGGTGAAGGAGGCTGCTCTGTTTACACTTGGCACATTGGCTGAGGCTAATGGTGAGTACATGTGTTTCAAAGGAGCTTAGAAGTGACAAGTTGTCTTCTTTGTCGTCACTGAAACTGAGTATGAATGTAAATTCTCTAATAATACAGCTCCACCTAAAAATAACTATATTGGTGCATTTGGGCTGAAAAGTTTAAGGTTTACAGGCGTAAAGTAGCACAAAGCTTAATGTTAAATCAGGTGGTGGATTCAATGAAAGTTTTCGAATGCCTTTTTATGCACACTTTATAGGATGTGGTGCTGAGCTAAAATGCAGAATGTGTATGCTATAACACATGATGGCTATTGTTGCAATGTCATTATTTCATGTGCGGATTTGTTTTTGGTGATAATGTCTTTTTATATATTTTCACGTTAGTGTACTGCAAGAATTCTCTGTGCAGAAAAGAGATCTTTACAGACATCACTACCCTGTTGATGAAAGAAGATATCACGCTGACACAGAAGAGGGTGTCCGTCTATTTGCTGTTTGTGCTGGTAGTCAACAACAGTAAGAACTTTCCTTTTTAACTAGCAGTTTAGCAGCGTTAATTGTTTGCTTTCTAATTTACGGCACATTTTCTTTGTTGATGTTTAATTTGAAGTTATATGAGCTTAAAACATTACAAAATGCATAAAAAGAACTGTAGCCGTCGCATGTAGCATCTCGGCATGAATTGCTCCTGTCATTTGTGTGGTGTTGCAGAATTAGGACAAACTTTAGCTAAATCCACAGGCTGTCTGGAAATTCTACTGGATCTTTTCAGGTATTTTCCCATGCCTAATAAATGAGAGTAGTATACTGTTTATTTATTTATTTTTAAATACACTCATGTTGTCATTATGTTTTTCAGGATCTCCTTCCCACTCTCCAAAACAAACAACTTCACAACTGTTAGTCAAAGCTACCAACTTTGGGCATCTGTATCCTGTGCTTTGTGCGGATGTGTCAACAATCCTCAGGATGGTAATATTGTTTTTGTGTTTGTTTCAGACTGATCAGTTTATATCTAGAGCAAGAACAGACACAGATCAATCTTTCTTCTGTTTTGCAGAAGAAGCTCAGCTTAGTTGTGTGGCAGCTTTTCCCATTATAAAAGTCTGGCTCCAGCAGACTTCTCTTCACTGCACAGAAGTATTTCAACCCATATGCTCATTTATTGCAATGGCAGTTGCCAACAACTGTAAGTGAATGCTTTTCACCAAACATAAAAAGAAAAAAGTTCATCAAATTATAAAAGTAAATGTAAATTTACTTTTAAATCTTAATAGTTTAATATGTCAACACATTTGTTTTTGTTTTTGCAGCATATGTTCAGGAGAGTTTTTTTGCCTGTGGGGGTTTGGAAACGCTCACTCTTGTGATGGTTCATGCTGCCTTTGCTGCAGACACAAGCTTATTGTCCTGCAAGTTGTCAATTATTATAACCAAGACACTGTCAGCTTGCATCACTGATAACCGTATGTATTGCTCTTGAACACATGCATTTACAACTGACCAGCAACATATCTCTCTTTTCTAATACAATTGATTGTTTTCAGTAAATCTGGCTTCAGCTTTGGCTCAGCATAGCATAGTGTCCTCCCTGTTCAATCTGCTGACAAGCTCACACCTGGATCCTGATGACAGACTGCCTGTTTTACTTTGCATTGGGCAGTGCACTGGGGCCTCAGGTATGACTGAACAGTAGTGAGCTATGTTTGCATTTAGACATGTTTTGTTAATATAGAATTGTTCTTTTTTTTTCTCCAGTTAACATTTTAGATCTAGTAGAGGTTCTCATTCTGTTTTTTTTTTTTTTTTTTTTTGATGTCATGTGTTTGTGTTTATCTGCATTTGCAGAAGAGCACCAGACCCAGCTGGTGCAGTGTGGTGGCCTGCCTGTTGTAATAACTTTTCTCACAGAGGACACAAGTGAGGAAGTTAACAAGGCGGCTACTTACATATTGCAAACTTGCAAACAGGCCAGTAAGTAAAAACAGTTTGTCCTAAAATGTTTGGTTTCCATATTTTTAATGTTTTAAATTATTCTGTGGCACCAAGACTTTGTATTTTTGATCACAATAGGATAAGGCTCTTGATTTTTTTTAAATAAAAGATTGTTTTAGCTGTCCATCCATCCATCCATTTTCTTTGTCTGTTTTTCCTTGTTTTAGCTGTGTTTACTATAATTTTGTTGGATTTAAATAACTTAGTTAAGCCTTTAATAATGGAAAAGAACATTTATTTTTGCAAGCTGTTTTTTCTTGTACCGATATGTTTAATTCATTTTATTTTTTGTCAAGCGCAAATAAGAATTTCCTCTTATTGACTGAGTGTTGCCACCTAACCACCAAAACTGTTTTAGTTTTCTACTTTTCTGTGACAGTGAACATTTATTTACCTAAACAAAAAACCAAAATACTATAGTAATAAATGCATTACACATATACAGTTATTCTCATATGGAGCTTTTTTTTGTTCTCTTTGAAGCCATAAACTTGAGAATGCATGGTCTGATAGGAAAACAGGCTGAAAATGAAGAATCATTTGCAAACACTGAAGGCTTCAGAGCTGCAGCTAAAGAAATGCTGCAAAGGATTGAAGCGCTGGAAAAAAATCTACCGAAGGTTTGATGTGTGCACACACACTCACACACTCTCGGAGCACAGTTGTTCCAGTACATATAGGCTGATGTGTGATTATGTTTATTAGGAAACTGAGGATGAACATGAAGACATTAATGCTTTGCATTTAACTGAAGTTCAAAGTCCACCGTCCGAGTTCTCCTTTTTACTTCGACCACCCCAGAGACGGGAGAGTATCAAGGCCAACCAAACACAAAAGCCGGTGCAAAAAGGCAATGGCACCAATGCTGACCTCCATACAGTCATGAGGTTGACTGAGAAAACTAACAAAAGTGCGATAAAGGAAATCACTTCTAGTTTGGTTCTTCCAGAAGAGAAAGCTAAAACCAACAAAGGTGATGTGATGTTTCCAGTGAACAGGGATGGTGGACCTCTCATGTCTTCTCATTTATGGCCTCTAGAGTGTAGCAGCGAGTCACTTGCTGCAGACAAGTCAGTGACATTGAGTTGATCATTATTCGTCAGAAAAAGAGAAAATGTGTGCTTAATAATTACCGTCCTCTTGTTTTTGTTTAGTCATCTGTTTAGGAAACCAGTACCAGTGTGTCACACCAACATAACAGAAGTTACACGTCCTGATGGTAATTGTTTGTCAGTATTTTGCATAGTTTCTTACAAACTTTGTTTGACTTCAATGTTTTTGCTTTTAGACCTTCGGGACAGCGAGTTAAACCGGGTGGAGAAGATTCCAGAGGAAGAACGTTCGGTTTCTCATAGCCGATGTGCAGGTAGGGGATCGTTAAGCTGCATCTCGGTGAAATATTTTTCATCTGTTATCAAACATTTATTTTCACAGAAATGCAGCAATGTATTATCACACACAGCAGGCTGTAGTTTGTTGCAAATTGAAATAGATTATCTTTGTCAATCTCATTTAAATGTGTTTGATGAAGAAAAAACAATGTTTGCTTGTAGATGTAGGCTGGAGTGACAGTATAAGAAATCTTGAATTTTGTAGTCGTTTCATTTGGAGAGATACTCAGAGAAGCTCATGTGCAATTTAAAACAATACATATTAAAACTCAGGTAGGTCAGTGTGTCTGTTATTTTAAACACATTTGTTTTTGTTGTCATTTTGTTGACATGTTCAGGCTTTGTTTAGAATGCATAAGAAGGAAAATGGACTGGTTCTTTTTGTGTATAATACAGATTCAAGCAGTACTAGTCGATTCATGCAAACATTTATTGTTTAAGTTGGGCATGTGAATGACTGTTCGCTCTCTCTTTTAGGTTGTGTGTTACCTTTTGAGGAAGTGACCAGTCGCACTTTTGCTTCTCTCCAAAGCTCTTGTTCCAACAGCTGTGACGTGCACAGAGTCCTCCAAGAGGCCAATGAGCAATTCAGGAAACACCGTCTTAACTTCGTGCTCATGAAAGAGCACCACAATGTTGTTGTGGAGCACAGACGCACAAACTCAGTGAGAGTTTCACCTTTAAAGTCACAAAGAAGCTCTGAAAACTGGAGCGGTAAGAAGTTTTACTGTCTTGCGTGTCAAAGAGCACATTTTAGACAAATCAAACACAATAAGCTCACAGATGCATTCTCAGACACTTGTTTTTTTGTTTTTGTTTTGTATTTTATTTGGTCAAAGCCTTTGTCAAAGTTTTCATAACTGCATTTTTATTTACCTAAATAAAACACAATAAGAACAACTCAAGGACTTCATTAAAATGTTTGATTTCTCACAGCAGGAAATGACAAGAGTTCTCATCCACAAACCTCCATGTGGAAGCAGAGAGAAGATTTCAGCAACAAATAATTTCATCCCATTAGTCTTGAAGAACTGCATGAAATCTACAAATAAAAAATTACCAGGAAAATAGAATGAAAATAAACAAATCAGTTAAACTAAATGTAAAACAAAGAAACGGGAACAAATCATTTGCAGCAGTACTTTATGGGTTTTCTGAAGATGCGATTATTAAACTCACTCTCTCAGTTTAAGGTTTTTGAAGTTAAATATTAATCACCTACTAATGTTATAAGCATGTTTGGTCAGTTGCCAGAATTATAGAAGTATAAAAAGCAAAGTGACTTTAAATTTAGCACATTGAAGGCTAAGTTCTTCCAAAAGTTTTTCAAAATGTAAGTAGAGAAAGTAATTTGCTTTGCAAATGATTCCTGAAGTTTTGAGATGTTCTGAATACCTACATGAATAATGTGAGTAACAGCTGGTGCCAGCTGAACACAACCTTTCCAACACATACTGTGAATATAATGTGTATTTTGGATTTTGCCTTTTTTCCAGGCATCAGTCTGACACCGCTGCGTAGGAGCACTGGAGAAGAGATGTTTACCTCTCAGAGCAAAAGTGATACAAGTAGTGTTGTCATTTATCAATCATACACACAATATAAATTTGCCATAATCAACAACTTTGATACTATTTTTATTTTAGGGCCTTCCTTGACTCCTTTAAAAAGAAGGCGTCCACACGAAGGCAGAAATGATTTAGGTATTTGCATGGTGTTACTTTAAGTGTGTGTGAATGTTATGATTGAGGGTCTGTGGTGGGAGCTGTCCTCTGCAGTGTAACTTTGGCACCAGACAAACGAAAGAAAGAATGTTGAGCTGCAGCCAGCATTCTCACAGTGCAGGGCAGAGCTGGTTCAGAGCACCACAGCTGTATTAGGCCTTTTCACACTCTGTAACACAGTGTGGCTGTGCATGTGTGGCTGTGCATGTGTGGCTGTGCATGTGTGGCTGTGCATGTGTGGCTGTGCATGTGTAGCTGTGCATGTGTGGCTGTGCATGTGTAGCTGTGCACATGTGGCTGTGCATGTGTAGCTGTGCATGGGTGTTTGAAATCATAGCATGTGTTAGGAAGGAAGATGGACAGTATGAACATGCCAACTATGGCATTTTTGAACCGTCATATGAATTTATATGTCATGGGGAGTGGTGGCGCAGAGGTCAAAGAAGGCGAGCCTGTGATCAGAAGGTCGTTGGTTCAATCCCGGAGACCAACAACATCAAAATGTAGGTGGGAAAGGTGAAGCACTCACCTGCCTCCACCCTCATTTGCCCCACTCTGGGCCCTTGAGTAAGGCCCTTAGCCCCACCATCTGCTCCCCCAGGCGCCCTAGATTGCAGCTCTGCTCCACACAGAGGGCTGTGGTAGCTCGGTGCTCTGTGGTTGTGTCAGGAAGAGCATCCAGTGTAAAAACAGTCGCCAGGTCTTCGTGCGACTTAGTTTGCTGTGGTGAGTCCTGAAGAAGGGAGCAGCCAAAGGAAGAAAAAATAATAATTTATATGTTTATCTTTTTTGTAGTTCTGTATTTTCATCTTATTGTTGCCTTCTGTAGCTGAAGTGTTTCAACGTGGCAGTTTTCTAGTGCCATCCTACTGCACTGTATTAATGTGAATTATTGTTTGTTTTACCTCGCAGCCAAATGCTTTTTCCAGCGTCCATCTTTTTCCCATTACACAACATGCTTTTTTTCACCAGTTTCCATTTTGCAGTATTGTTTTTCATTTTCTGACTTTATATTTTGAATATCTGTCGACAGTACTTATTCTTCTGTTTGTTAACTTGTCTTAGCGACAATGATCTAACATTTCTCTGTATGTTATGCCTTACCTGCTGTACATGGTCAGTTGACATATTGACAGAGTTTTAAAACTCGTACCTAACTTAAATTGTGTTTAATGTTTTAAATACAGAGAGAAGAATAAGGAGTACTGATGACGATCAGTCAAAGATGAGCTCAGACCTCAGTTCGTCTCTAAGAGTTTGTAACAGTCAGATACTTTATGAAAATATGAACTAAGAGGCAGTTGCCATTGCTATGTTGAAGTTTTTGATTTATTTGTTTGGTTTTTCATGTGTGGGCTAAAATCCCAACTCTATTTTTTTCCCCTGTGCTTCACTTTTAAGTTTTTTGTTTCTTCTTCTTTCTCTTTCCGTGCTGATAGAGGAGGAAGAGGCAGGACTTCAGCCGTGAGGAGATCCATTACCTTCTGTCTGGAGTGAAGAAATGTGGCTTCTCCTGGAACTCCATCTTGTGGTCGTATCCCTTCCAGCCTGGACGCACAAACGTTGATCTGGCCAAGAAATACAGGAGGATGATGGTAAAAGCCAAAGTTTTAAAGTGGGATGATTTTGATGATGATTGTCTGATTCTATAAGCTTATTAACCATACTTTGTCTTTCTGTTTTCTTCTTTTTCTCAGAAATAAAAATCCTGAAGAGTGTCATCCAAGCTCTGAAATCTTGGGGCACCCTAAAAACAACGACCCTCTAAAACTCAGTTTCTTGGCGAGGCTGCAAGACTCTTGTTGTGTTCACTAAAATATACACAGATTTTAAAATAATTTGAAATACTACACACTTCATATAACTATAATTTATTTATCTGCTAGTGTTTGGTTTTATATAACTTGCTTTAACAAAATTTTATGTTACAGATATTGCTAAATTTTTTGAAAATCATTTTGCTGTCGGGCATTTATTGTTATTTAATACAGTATATAAAAAAAAAGTTTATTACACAACTATAACCGTCAGGTAGAGACATATATTTAATTGTACATGTTTGCTGTTTAGCCTGTTCAATTAAGCTTTATTTGAGAGTATATCCGAAATATTTGTGTTATTATTCCTGCTTTTGTTGTTTAGGATCACTAACTGGTAAATATGCCACAGTGTTTGTTCGAGTAAAGAGTTAAAAAATGCAGTTGTGAGCATTTTAATTTCATAGCCCACATGTTATTCTAAAGAATGGAGAAAACAGAAGACTTGTTTCTTCTCCTTTGCTTAGACCTTTAAAAATCTTCTTTTCTAGCTCCTTGACACGTGATCCGACGGAAGCAAATACCAAGTTCTGTTTTCTTTGTGTCTGTGTGTTGGCCATCACAGTTCAGGGAGAGACAGGAAATCAACGAGGGGAGCGAGGACTCGAGTCCAGCTCTTTTGTTTATCGAGCTGAAAGGCTGTGGTATGACAGGAATCACAAATAGTACAAATCATGCTGCTCATCTGTTCTCTGTGCATTGAGGAGCAGCTCAGTCTGCAGACTTTACCAGAGCTGAGCTGGACTGAGATCATTGTCTAAAGAATGCCTCTCCCACTCTAAGGGGACTCACTGGTATGTTGTCCAAACCACGGGATTTACCCGTTTGCCATGCTCTGACTCAGAGGTTGTTAAAGTTAGGTGTGCCTGGACTGTCTTTTGTATCATATCCCTGCAGCCTTTGTCAAATGGAACCATCCTGCTTTACATGTTTCAGTAGATGTAAAAAAAAAAAAGTGTTGTTGAAAAATTGTCAAAGCTACCAGAGTTGTTTTTTATTCACTTTTTGTTTCTCTTTACGTTGAGGCTTTCCGTGCTGGTTCTCTGCTTGTTCAAGATGTTGGGATAGCAGAGCAGTGAGGGCAGGGGGGAATGTGGTGGGAGAGGCATCTGAGGAGCAGATTTCTCATGGACTGAAACGCAGACCCACTAAAGACTTTTGACCCAGGCCCCCCGAAAACCTCCTTCCTCTGGAAAGAATGCGGCCCGATCTCTCCCCCTCCTTACATCTTCGCTCCCATGAGACGAGTAAAAAAACCTTTTTCTTGCATGATATTCAAACTGCAGTTTGTCCATTTCTGAACTCTCATAGAAGTACTAGCTTAATATGCTGTTACAAAAAACAATTCAAATACGTGTAGCTGTTTGACATGTGCTCTTATCTCTTTTAAAAAACATTTTGGTCATGCTTGATCACCTTCGCCTGCTATATACGTTTGTCTTTGGCAGAATCTTCGATCTTTAATTTCCCACACTTCAAGTTAAATAAATGGACCATAACACAGGTATACTGGTTTTATTTTCACAAGCATCTTGAATAAAAATGACCAATGTTCAAACATTGTTGTAAATAAAACATAAATATTTTAGGCACTTCTTTTCTGTAATGCTGAAATTCACACACCGCCATTTCTTCTCATATCTGATGTTTTCATTGCTGTACCACATGTACTCCTCATACACAAACAATTTAAAGGTTCTTGTAAGGAACTTGTCTTTTTCTTCAGTGCCCTGCAAGAGTTTAGATATTTACTTGGTGAGTTTGCTCAGAGGAAAATCTCTGTTGTCTGTAGCGCTTGTAGTTTGTGTGCTGCTGGAACCAGTTTACATCTCTTCTGTAAACTGGGTGCTTGACTTTAAGAAAGTCAGAAAAGCCTCAATATTCAGCTTATTCCAGCAGTTTTAACAGCAAAATAACTTGTTTTTATTGGGACACTTGGGGTGAATTATTATTTTTATCCGTTCAGAATCAATATATAGTGTTGAAAGTTGCTCAAAATCCTCTCCAACTGATTCACATCAGCTCGATGGACGCGCTCACGTCTGTGAAGGGAGTGCCATCTGGCATCTTGACTTCGCTCTGAATGAGGTCATTCAGAAGGTCATTTCCTTCAAGCTCGAGGTTTTTCAGGTCATCGCAAACGTTTTCGTCAATGACATCACTCCCAGACGTCTTCACACACCCTGCAGCCTCCACCTCCATCTGCTTTTCTACAAAGTCGGATGTTTCTGTGAATTTTTCTGGCTCCAGTGAGGAGCCCGCAGCAGGCTGCTCAGCTGCTGAGATGTTCGATGACTCGCCGGGGTTGAGGGACGCAGAGATGGAAGCTGGTGCAAAAGATACATCAGGGACACTCGAGTCGATCAAAGGGGGGAGCGATTCTTGGTTGAGCAGGTCCGTGTGCTGCTCCAGCAGTTCTGCTGTGGTTGGTGCTGGCTCTGAGATGGACTCAGCTTCTGCCTCTTGGTGTGAGGAAGACTCTGGTTCAGGCTTTAGAGCAAGCTGAGCTTCAGCAACAAGCGCTGGTTGTGCAAGCCCTTCTGGTTCTGGAGGTTTGATGGCTGGAATCAGAGGTTCAATCTGGACTGGAGGTGGTGTTTCCTTCACAGTCGACTCTGCATCATTTTGGGGGACTAAGGCAACCGGACTCGTTACCACCTCACCCCCTGATACACACTCATGTTTGGCTGAACAGGCCTCTGTTGTCCCTGACTCATGGGCCATCACATCCAGCTTCTCAGTCTCGACGAGCTCCTGAGTCGGTGTCAGCTCAGGGTTTTGGTCTTGGTCGGTTCTTGCCGGTCCTGCCTCAGTTTTCTGTTCAGTGGCTGCAGCAGCACAGCCAGCTGGGGCATCTCTTCGTCTACTGAACCGGTTTCCCATGATCAACCTGTACAGGGAGGCAAAATAAGACAGAAACATTTACGCCATTATTAACAGCAGTAAATGCAAACATTATTAGGAATAATTAAAGCAGTCCTCTTCGTGACTTTGCAGTTTATTCGATTCAGTATTATGGTTCGGATAATCCAAATTGCTCGGGGTTATAAAATCAAAGTGAAAACAGGAAGACTCTTGAAGTCATCAGGGTTTAATGAAGTGGATGAGCAGACATTTTATAGTTTAAGATCTCCTTCCTGCACGAACAGCATCTGCAGCTTCAAGAGACCAATCTGAAGTCAAAATACCTTTT